CCGGGGTAGCATGGCCCACGCTGCGTGGGTGGTGCATGCTACCCCGCGGCTAGTTTAACCACTTGGCAGCCTCCTCCAGCTACGGGCAAACACTGACGTAGTGCCCCGGACTCTTGCAGAACCGACACACACCACGCCCACGACCGCCATCACCACGGCCGCTGTCACCACTCTGTTGTCCACGGCCCTTACCTCTACTTCTGCCACCCTATTGAACTACTGCAACTGAATTTGACTGAGACTGAGACTGATGCTACTGGGACTGACTGCCTGAACCTGATGCTACTGCTGCTGCTGGCCATGTCCTCTACCTCGTCCACGTCCACCAGACTGTCGGCCTTGACCTCTGCCTTGGCTCTGCCCCTGAGACTGCTCCCAGCCCCCATGCTAAAGACTGGAAAGACGCAGAGCCGTGTCAATCGCCTGATCAGGGTCCTCTGGCACCCAAGATGCCATTGTCGATCTCATGGGCTCCTTGAGGCCCTCGATGAACTGGTAGTAACGCTTAGCTCTGGACATGTCTGGTAATTTGAAGCTCCATTTCTGGAACTCCCTGACGTAAGCCTCTACAGACTTGTACTGTCGCAGAGTATGGAGTCTACACCTAGCCTGCTCTCCCAATGTGGCTGACTCAAAAGTGCCACGCAGTGCCTCAGTAAACTTGCGCCAATCAACAAATGGCGTTCGTGTCCCTTGATAGACCTGCAACTCTACCAGGTTCATCCACGATATGGCAACTCCAGGCAGATTTGCTGACATCACTGACAGCCAGCGTGAATCGTCCACTGCATTGCCACGCAGCCATCTGCACATGGCCAACACCCACTCTGTGCAGCTCACATCCCGATGGTGGCCAGAAAATCTCTCGGGCATCGAAATCCTCAATCTCCCAAGCCCGGTGTTGACAGGAATAGCGGCAGCTCTGTGGGCAACATCCGGCAACCCATCTCCATGTGATAACTCTCTCTTGCCCATAGAATCATCCTCTCCTCCATCACTGCCATCTCCAGGCGGGCCACCAGGCGGACCTCCAGAGGGTGACCTTCTGGGTGGTCTCCTTGGCGGTTCGTGACCACTTGATCCTCCAGCTCCACCACCCAAGGATCCATATGATCCCAACCCACAGTAGGGATCCTCTGGCACACCTACCCCCCAGAAAGGAGGTTGGCGAGCTGATTGTGTAGGGAATCCAGCTCTAGATGCTTCAGCTCCATTCACTTGTGACGGTACTCCACTCGGACTAGCTGATTGACCATGGGAAGACTGTCCAGGCTGTGCTGAAGGGCTTGTTGTTTGACTGATACTAGGAGGAAACAATGGTGCTGCAATTCTGCTCAAAATTCCCAAGTTTTCCGGCGGTGCCATAGTGGTTTGCACCGTAGTACTTGGGACAGTAGTTACCATGGTCCCAAAGTACAGACTGCTGGGAATTTGCTTGTTCCGAAATGCATCCCAATCCACATTCTGATTCACCTTCCAGTTCACAGGATTCTCACTCCACGACACAACACCAACGGGCAGCCAAGGAACTCCAAAACTCACACCTTGTGCCGTCTCGCAGCTCCCCGTTACACCAGGGGTGCGTAACCCCTCGTAAAGTGTAACTTTTTTGCGAACAGGCCCCACGGGGGCGGCATCTCCCTCCGCGGCACCTGCATCCCCCACGCCCGAGGTCACCGGCAACGGCGACCGACTCCGAACGGTCGAGGGCGGCATAGCTGGCCGAACGATGGGGCTGGACGTTGCCTCAGACATCCTGCAGTCCAGCGCCTCAATGGCGCGCTTGATGCTGCCGAGCTCGCTAGCCATGGAGGCCATTTCCCGAGCATGGCTCGCAGCCATGCTTTCCACTCGTTTGGAAACCGTCTCTTGCACGTTTTGTTGTGCTTGAACGGCGGCGCCGAGGTCGCCCAACACTCGCGCCGCTTGGTGCAAGCTTTCATTCGCAATCGAAGCCTCCTCGGAGGCCTTTCCCGTAACATTGGCCAGCACCTCCAACCGCGGATCGTGGCCTCCTTTCTCCGATTCCAATGCCACCAGCCATTCGCGTGCCTCTGAAACGTCCTCCTGAGTCCTTGCGAACCGTCCCTCATTGATCGCGCCCGCCAGCTGCACTTCATCCGCCAACTTCTGGTTGGCCTCCGAAAAATGCACCTCCGTTTCCGCGAGCCTCTTCCCCATCTGCTCCATTCTACGGTCTATCTCCGTGCCGATCCACTCTTCCGCTCGAAGCCAATCTCCTCGAACAACAGCTTGAAATCTCCTGAGCTCATTCGCTTGCATTTCAGCTCTTTGCCTCACACCTTCCAGCCCGGCGCCGATCACTGAAATGGCCACTTCTTGCGCGGCCATTCTGCTGTGCACTTCTTCCTGCAAGGCGCGTAGCTCGCGGCCTTGCTACAGCTGCTGCGCGGTCGATTGATTCGCGGCAACCTCGAGCTGCCGGCCGAGCGCTTCCCCCATGCCACGGAGAGTTGCATTCTGCTCCTCGCTCGCTCTTTCACTCCAATTCGCGACCGCGAACAGGGTCGCTCGACACGCAGCTGCGGCGGCAACAGCCCCCACGTGCCGCAACAATAGCTGCTCTGGTCGATCGTCTTCCTGGCCGTGCTGCAAAGCCGTCACTCCTCCGCCGTTTCCGTTTAGCTCCATGGGGGTCGGCCCGCCTCGATAGGGCACCAATTGCCCAGCCGATTGTTCCCTGGATTCCCAGACTCCTGGCGAGGATCCCCACTTGCTATTCCGGCCGTCTGCCGGTGCACTTTCGCCGCTCGAATGCTCCGCGCTCCGAAACCAATGATGTAGAAGCTTCGTTGCTCCCGCGGGCATACAGGTCGGATGCAACGGGGAGTCAACCGGACCCCCGGGGCATGACATTAAAAGGCTTTAATTGTACATCATTTAAATTGTCCATTTGATTGTCCTTTGCACCCGAGTGTTCCACAACTCAACCCTTAGGTTGCTATCAATCAAATGTTTCCATGTACTACATCCATCAAGCAATCGTATCAGCTTCAGTATGCCCTGGGACCCCACAGAGTGGGCGCCTTGTCCGCTGTGTGGGGAGTACTTCTCCAGGAGCACCTTGTGTGGGATTGCAGAGGGATTAAACAGAAGAGGGAGCGGCTGTTGGGTATTGTCGATGCTGCGAGAATGGGGGATTGGGTGTGGCTTGCTTGGTTTCGGGGTTCTCGGTTGGGGAGGTTTATTCGTCATAGGTCTGATTGAGTCTACTCAGGTCGGTTCGAGGGGGTGAGTGTGGGGGTACTGAGCTGGGAAAGCCTCCGCTGTTTTGGGGGGCTTCCCTTTGTTCATCTGCTTCTGGAACTGGGATATTTGCATAGAGACTCTGTACTGTAAGTTTGTGTGGGCGGGGCCCCTATTTTAGGGGACAAACATATGCGGCCCTAGATGTGGCTACCTGACATTTTGCGGCTGTTCCGTACATGTTCGGTTATACCACGACGGTGACATGCACATCCTTGTCGTATCACCAATTGTAGGAAATCTTCTTCTTCTTCTTCTTCCCAAGTTGAATAATGGGATGCACATGTTTTTTTTTTCACGCTGCACTTTGATTTTTTCCTCTTGAGCTGTCAAACCACTTCTTTTCATTGCAACAAATACAATTCATCTTGTTCATCATTTCTGCAAAGATGGCCTAAATTATATGCCATTTTGCAGTGTGCCGAACAGTTCCTCAATGAGACGGGTCCGGAATCAGGAAATGTTGCCACTATCCTGGCTGTTTATGTGCATGGTCTGACAGAATATGCAAATGATGCCGACATGAGCACAATGTGACTTGCTCTGCCCATGCATGCTGCATGGGACCCAAGCTGCAACACTATTATCCCACATTGACGGGGTGATGGGAAGTGAGAGTTCCAACATTTGTATTGCAACTGGGTAGCAGTCCTCACCACTAGCTTGACTCTTGTACTATCATGTTGCTGGCAGCTGTGGTGAAGGGCTTGGCCCCTTGTGTGTGAAGCAACATTCTTTCAGGATCTCCACTTTGAATACTTTGTGAAAGGAACATGGTGAAGCACTGCCCTTGCACACTTTCTCATGTGTCAAGCTGACATCATCAAACGAACAAGATATATTGTATGTATCGCACATGCTTGTTTCTGTGTGGATGCTGCAAGTGCATGAGAAGCGCTACGGCCGCCATTTATGCTCAGAGTACAACGATTCATCACGCTAGATTGTGGATTATCTCTCCACTGAACATCATTTGAGAGTCTGCAACTCCCTAGCTCAGTTCTGTTGTTCGATTTGCATTAACTTTGTTCCTTCACCACTGTGATATGCTTTAGGTGAGCTGAGTGTGACAAGTCGTTTATGTTCTGAGGTGGTCTAAGTGCAGTCTGCTCCTGATGATATTACTGCATAGGATGACCTTAGGGCATCATCAAGGTAGGTGTACAAAAAGGTGACAAGTCATTTATGTTCTGAGCAGGACTAAGTGTAGTCTGCTCCCGATGATATTACTGCATAGGATGACCCTACGGTATCATCAAGCTAGGTGTACAAAAAGAAATGTGCGCTTCTCCACGCGATGTGAGTTACTAATGGCGTAGTGCAGTTATATTTCAAAGAACGCCACTTTCAGTCATCCACCCAGGCAAACGGTGGTCATTACGAGCGCCCAACGCTGTCCTTGCCAAATAACAACAATCAATAACAACGATCAATACAGTCATTGCGTCATTGGAACACGTGTGGGCAATCCCCAGTATGGTGGTCAGCACAAGTGCGACAAAAGGTATTTGCACGGGTCTGTGGTTACTTTAGGATAGGGGGTTGGGATTTCAATGCTATGCATTCTCTTAGATAGGGCGGAGGTCGGTTATGGTATCAACAACAGCCTTAGCCCACAGACTGTTAAGGAAGCAAGGGAAGCACATGGCACCTGTCCTTCCACGCTCACCGCCATTTGACGCCACCAGATGTGAACAAAATCCAGCTCCACACATAAATCGCCAACAATCTAGTCAACTAAACGTTCCAATTCCATCCAAACTTGGTTGGAGGGCATAATGACACAGTTCCTGGGCATGGGCAACAAAGAAACTTCCCGGTGCCAAACTGCACATTGTGAGTACTTCCTTGGGCAAGACCATCGTGCGTTGTACAGCTGCACCAATGTCTTGGCTTACGCGATCAACTATGCAAATCACGTGAATGATGCTGCCCGAGCTACAGGCCAAAATCTGCCAACCTGCCACACAGTGCACAGTTTTTTCAACTTCAGTTAATGCAGTTTCATGCTAATCAGTGCTGAAGATCTTTCTAGCAGATAATGCATACCAGACAACAATACAGCCTCTATGCGACAATTGTGGCTGAATTTGGTGAGCACCTCTACGTCAATGTCAATTATGCTGGAACAAAGCATCATTCTGACATTTGCTGAATGCAGAAATTTCCTAGTGGGACGAATGTGACATATTAGCCTGAACAGGAAGTAAACGGCTGGGAAAGCAAACCTGGAAACAGCCTGGAGCAGCCAAGAAAGCAAACAGGTGGGTCCATGAACACTGAGCAGACTGCGCATTGGTCATACCTCAATTGCCCGCAGTTTCATTCATATGGCTGAAAAGTAGTTGGAAAAGGATGTGTGTGGCATCATCTGACGACTGCAAGTACATGTCCTGTGTCATGATTTTCTGCAGGGATAATCTGCCAGCTGTTCTGCTAGTCTTGAACCCGTCGACTGCTCAAACAAGCAATAAACAAATTCTCCCTATTCGAGCACTCATGCCCCAGCTTTCATGCGTCTTTCATGTGTGGTGAAGTCGACGTGTTCTCTGCCCCTTCAGGCGACGTTTGACACCAAACGCACTGCAGAAAAGAACCCTTACGACCATTCAAGCCTTTTATTGGCCCATAGGGTTCACCTGCCAGCTCCCCGCTTTTGTTTCCTTCCTCCGGTGGCAGGAGCGAGAATGCATCCAGGGACACAGGAAGCCGTAGCCTGCTGATGTCCATTGCTGGCAAACCATCCGGGCCGAATCGTGACAATATCAAGGCATACAGGCCCCCACGGTTGTCAAGAAGAACTGCAGCTTTAGGGCCAGCCATTTGCAGGGAGAGGACAGCCAGACCCACTTGCAGGTCATGCCCTTGTCTCTGGATGCATGTTGTCGTGCTGGGAATCGCTACATTCTCCTCGTTTCCAATATCCTTGTGCTCCCCCTTGCTTGCTTTCATTGATGGCACAGCTTTCCTGCTGTGTACCAGTGCTCCTAGTGACCAACATTGTGCTTTGTCTCCAAAGGCCACAATCAAGTGCAATGCAGAGAGGCAAGCATCGACGATGTTCTCTGGCATGGCAAGCGTGCAGCAGAAGAACAACTGTCCAGTGCCATACAAACAGGTCAAATTGTATCTTTGCAGCAACCAACCAGCCAATAAATACTCCCCTACAGTTTGTCCTGGCCACAAAGGCATTCGGCATATACACACCCGCCCTTGGAGGTAGACACATGCGTGCATTCTTGGCAACTGGGTGAGGTGCCTTGAGGTGGATTGAAGCGCAAGGTTCAGCTTCTGCAGCTGGGGATGAAACAACACTTTACTGTTGCATCTGTGAATTCTTAGCTTGGTTATGGCTTGAGCAAGCAAAGCATCAGGCAGGTGCCTTGTTCGTTTCCATGTTAGTTTTTAGGTGGCATGATCTGTGCTTGGTTGCCGTCCTTGCACTGTCTACAATGCATCCCTCGTCTCCAGATTGCCCCCAACAGTGAAACGTGATGAATCATTACCAGTTTGTTTCATTTGTGACTGTGGCCACAAAGGGTACAAACTACTGTGATTGGAGCATAAGCCTGTCTCCTGCTGTGTGCAAGACCCAATTCAATCGTTGTGATGCTGATTACAGTTTTCCGTTTTCTGTGACGAGAATAGCAAATCCACAGTGGTTGCACTGTTAAAGTCTGACAACCCACTGTCTGGAAGGTAGCAGGGTGTGAGGACTTTGGTGGTGCAGGAAACTGCAGCTGTTGACAACAGGTACATCACAAGGACACATGCTCTGTGTGGGGGGTGGGGGTGTGTTGATAAGAATATTGACTTTGTTGATGCTGTCAGGTGCTTAAAATGCAAAATAGGAAATCAGCATGCAACTCAAGCTTTTGAGCTGAAGAGTTGTCACAGTCTAAGAAATTGAATAAGACACATCGTGACAGTGTTGGGCATTTCCCAAAACATTGGTGGCTGCTGGTGGCCTTGGTCGTGGAAAGCGAAATGATAACGGCAAGTCTTTGCGTGCACAAGAAATGTGGAGTTGTTGTGCGAGTTAAACTGTGCAACCTGGAGCTCATTGGTCGGGCCCGTCCTGCGGCCACCGGATGCCACTGGGCGAAGCCTGGCAGCCATCACCACCAAGCGCTCGCCCGAGAACAAGGCCATCGCGTTGATGTGAGCCGTGCACACCATTGGCCTGCCCCACCGCAAGAGCTGCCCTTTGGGCGCTCCCAACACCCTCACAGGCAGCTGTTGAAAGCTGCAGCGCTTGCCGCCCTCGCCGTCCATGCACTCCCAGGCATGCAGCGACAGGCCTGGACACAGCCAGAGAAATGGTTGCCAATCGTGTGCCAAATGTCTGAAGGCGTGATCCAGGCCTCATGGAAACTCCGTCCTCCCACCTCTGTTGTCGCCAGTGGTCCCAGATACCGCCAGCACAGCCGTAGTTTCTGCCACATCGCTTTGCCTGGATGCGCACAAGCGAGAAGGCGCGTTCGACTGAGAAGGAGACGGAGATCCAAAAACCCCACCCCGCCGTCCTGCTCCTGTTGTGCACTCATCATTTCGCAGCCGAGACTCTGCATCATCTTTCCAAGGCATGGAAAAGAGTCTCGCACACACCTGCTTAGGAGGGGGTTGCCCATTACATGACCTGTTTCTCGTTCTATTTGTAACAAATCTTACCCGTCCCGCTGAACGCACCTTGGCGTCTCCTCCCTCAGGGTGACAAAACAGATGCTCTCCAAGGCGGGCACGAATTCTATTGGCTTTGGCTGTGCGTCGGTGGCCAGGGAGTGCAGCTCGCAATGGGCGCCATCCGCATACGTCACGGCGGCAAAACGGGAGGACGGGTCGCACACAATGGATCGGACATCGAACTTTGTGGGAAAGATGGTCTCCATGAGATGCGGACACTTAAAAAGGTCCGCGAGAGAGCCGCCGTGGCGCTGCGGCGCGCACCCAAAAGGGCGGTTGGCTGCCACTGAGTGGCCACTTGCGCGGGGACAGTACCGCAAAGAACGCGCTGCAACAGCCAGGTTTGCCTTGGCCTCCGCTCGTGGCTGGCAAATGAAGTGTCGTAAGGCAATTTCGGGGCTGCTTAACTGGTACGCAAGCGCTGACTCGACCTTCATGTTTCCTCCCTCCTTCCTCAACCCCAGAACCCCAGAACCTGCAACAACACACAGAGGCGTACAAGGCCATCAAACGAGGTAGCACCGCGCGCTTGCTGGGCACTTCGCCGTCCACGGTGAACCGCGATGCTGTGCAACAAGTAGCCAGGGGCGTTCCTGAAAGACACCCAGCCAGCCGGCCCGATGGCCAGGAGTTGAGCGATCAGGTTTGTGTCTGAGTGGACGTGCAGAAAAATCGCCAAGCCGGGCAAAATCTTGTGCAGCAGAAGAGTGAGAAGGGCATGGTGCTGGAGGTGAGAAATTGGCAAGCAGTCACTTTCTGGCTGTCAGTGGTAACCCAGCGCTTTGTCATGAAGCTGTGCTCTGTGGTGTATGGCGATGGTTCTTGCTGCTCCGGCAACATGATCGTTCTCTGGCAATTCTAGGAACTGGGCGCCTGCCTGAGGAAGCCAATGTGTTCAAGTTCGTGGGACCAGCCAGCCTTGATCAAGCAAGATCCGTTGGAGGCAAAAACCAACATCAGCAAGCGCTTGGAGTGCATCATCAGTGAACTTGAGCGGCTGGACAATCAGCTCAAGTCAATGGAAAGCAATCCAACGCTCGTCAGGAAGAGGCATTTGATCACAAGCAACTCCTCAAACAGTGGAGGCCATGTCTCTAGCTGAGAGTTGCTTTGAGCGCAGTTGGGCAGGCGCTAGTGCTTTGTGCTGTTTTGCTGCTGAGTGAGCAACAGAGCCGATTGATCAACTGTCGCGTCCATTCATTACATTGCTTCACTTGACATCGCTGCAGTGTAGAGCCAAGATTTTGTGGTAGAAAGTCGTAGCTGTTTTGGCCCGCAGGCTGACCAGAACACACCAATTCATTGCCTCTGTGAGCTTGGCAGATCCTGAAACTTCAAAAACGAATGCATAGTTTGGGGCAGGCCCAAGCCAAGGCCCAAACTTGACGAACTGTGTGCACTTCAAGTGGCTCAACAAGTATGCTGCTGACTGTCCCGCTCTCACGTCTGGTGGGTTATAAGGTTGCCAAGAGTGGCGGCATCCGGGGTACCATGCTTGCAGCAGGTGTTCTTTGTCCAGTTGTTGCACTTCAGCCCTCTGGTACAATCGCGTGTCATTTGTCTGCTTGGTAGAGTTGCAGTGTTTGCTGCTTCCTTTCATTTGTGGTGGGCCTTTGTGGCCTCATATCTTGTAGGCTTGGGATATAGTGCTGCCAAGGACTTCCTGACAGCTGGGAATTTCTTAAAGACATACAGGGCTATGTGCAGATTGACTACAATCTCCAGGATGCACTGGGGGAGATGGGTTTGCAAGCCAGCCCAGTGCAACAGTTGCTGCCAGCCGCCATGGGAACAAATATGCTACAGAGCTTTGGGATCGATGTTGTTTCCAAGACATGGAACTGAATCTTCAAACAATCCCTTCTCAGTAGCTGTTGCATATGGTCACATGCAGTGCTCATCGGAGAATGTCGCAATCAGGGACAGGAAGGAAAGGGTGGAAGAGGTGACCAGTAAACAAATTGTGCCTACCATTTACACAACTGGCCTCTCAGAGTGTTGTCCTACGTGCGGTTGCCCTGTGATCGTGTATTGACTTTGTGGTGTTGGATTCGAAGGCTGTGCACATTGGTTTGCAATGAAATTGGAAAATACTGTAAAAATATGTCTTTTGTGTTGTTCAAAGAGTTGGAGTGTTGATATACACTGTTCACATGTGCCCCCAACCCCCAGCACAAGAAGTGGTGGTTGCAAGGCCACAGTCAAGGAATGTGTTGTGAGGAGCAGAGCGCAGCATTGAAGAATTCTGCGGCTGGATGTTTGTCTATCAGCTGCAGTACGTTCGACGATTGCATGTGCACACGGCTTAGGCAGCAGCAACCTACTGGACAGAGTTTCGTGTTGGTCCCAGTGTGCCAGAGGCCATTCTGCATCATGACAGTTGTACTAAACTAATTGACAGCTTGCACTGGAGCCAATGGTGGTTATGTACAGCCCTGTGTCGCCAACACTAACCCCCATGCTAGATCAGGTAACCCGAAGATGGCTGTGGGATGAGCCTTGTCAGCTCTGCACGGCCTCCTCATCGTTCATGTCCAAATGCTCAGACTCAAGTCTGCTGGCGACAGATGCCTTTGGCAGCTCATGTGACAGGATGCTCCCGCTGCCCTTGAAATTGCGTACCCTACTGTCTATGCGATTCTGGTAGTTGGCCTCCAGATTCGCCAAGTACAGCTTGGGATCGAAACCCCTGGAGCTTCCGATCTGCCATTCCATGAACAGAGTCTCACTGAAGGTAAAGACAATAAAAGAAAAAGCCAATGACAGAATGTGAGGTTCTATGGCGCTGTGCGTGTTATGGGGAATTCAATGGTGGCAAGGAGGTAGTGATCCGTTGGTATGCCGCTGCAGCATGCATATATAGTAACAAATCAGACACGGCTTTGCCACTGACGAGAAAACACTCAAATATCTACTGTCTTTGTTGTCCTTGCACCCTCTTGTGTTGAACCCCTACACTTTTCAGTTTCTAGGTTCTGATGGAAGTCCTTGCTACATTGCAGAATGGTGAGAGTCGCACGACCTCGCAGTAGACTGGATGCATAAGAGGAGAAGCCTGCCAGCTCGGAGCAGATGATGAGTCTGAAATGCATTCCTAATGCGTGCAGACAAGATCGTGAAACGCAGCGTGCATTTTCCCTTGGTGATTCAAGTGTACCGAGTAATTGACCGTGAATGCAATGACTGAGCTCAGGTCGAAACGACACACCTCTGGAACCAAATTGCACATGCCATAAAATTATGCCATGAAGAACAATAAATGCCAGATATAAACAACGCTGAAGATGTCTGTGTGGTTCTGTTGGTTCTGTTCGCTACGAATGCATCACCCGTTGCATGTCATGTGACTACCACCATTAAATGTACCAGAACGTTGTTGTGTCTGAATGCCAATGGTCATCAAGGGGCCAACAACACTTTCAACGAAAAACTCAAAAGAGAAAGGTGTGAAAGTAGAGCGTTTGTGATTTATGTCCTCGGGTGTCATCTTTGGCTACAATTGTTCGATCGTATTTGAAACCTTATCCCGGATTTGTGTCTTTCTCACCATTAGTGGTGAAGCCTCTGACAAGCAAGCATTGACATGGATGTTTTGTGATCAACCGGGAAATTCTCTTGGGTAGGAGGACAATTGTTTAGATCATAGCTAGAAATGGAATTAACTATCCTGTTGATGGGTTTCTGCTAAGGGCAACGACGGGTGGGCTGTGCTCATGATTCAAATGGCGTAGTTTTGAACCTGGAGTTTACTCAACCCCTGTTCCTTGGGATTTCTGGCCAACCTAGTACCGTGGGTCAGTCAAAGTACGAAAATACAAGGTGTCGCCAACCTTGGCGCCCTCGGGTTTGGCGGGCTTTGGCGGGGCTGAGTAGGGGCGGCTATTTAGGCTCCCCCCTCGGTCCCCCTCCTCAAAGGGGTGCTTGTTCCTGCTTCACGCCACTTCGTTGGCACAACCCGAAGGCACCAAATGCCTTGCCCTCCCTGGCCCTTGGCCGAGTTCTTTCTGTGAACCGCACTCTAGCCGAGCAGTGGTTGGACGACCAAGTGGTTCGGTTCAATGATGGTCTGCCTACGGTGCCCCTAGATGTCGTCTAATTGCCCAACCCCCGGGTTGTTACCATAGTCAATCACCAACCCGGTGGTCCGACCGCCGGGGGTATGGTTTGCCGACCAAAGCCAGGCAACTCATGCAGGCGCTCGGTTCTAACTTCAGCTACTTTTAAGAGTACCAGGACTGGGCGCCCTATGTTGCATGGCAGTTCAACCTGACCTCCAACTTGATTGACTTTGTGGCGCACCCCAATTTCCTGACTCAATTCAAGGATGCCCTCCTGCCGTACGTCCATGGCCTGGGGACAATCACGACTTGCCTTCATAGCCTCATATGGCTTCAAAAAATTCACGGGAAGCAAAAGAGGACGTTCCTAGATGGAAGGCGCTCTATACCAACGTCTGTTTGGGCACTATACATTGATGATTCTGGGATCCACTCATTGACGAGCTACTCAAGCACATATGCAAGGAGGTCCTCAATCAGCAGCTAAAGTTGGCGACCAAGTTCGCCGTGGCACATCAACATGCCCAACTCAATCACCTATCTGCCGCCACTGTGACTGCTGGCCCCTCGCTTTCTAGTGCAAGACCTTTGAAGGCGGAGTCTAGGAGCTCATCGGGTGCCCACCCATAACCTCCCAAGCCGTCCGCCTACAGGAGCATTCCGACGACCATCTTTGGGGGCACATTGCTGCATGGCGACTTGTTGGCCGTAGTGCAGTTCATAGAAAGAACGCGGCCAGGGGCCAGGGAGGGCAAGGCATTCGGTGCCTTCGGGTTGTGCCAATGAAGTGGCGTGAAGCGGGAACAAGCACCCCTTTGAGGAGGGGGAGTGAGGGGGGAGTCTAAA